CCGCCCTCCCCCCCCCCACCACCACACACACTATTAGACATGTGCAAAGACTAAATGAACTGAAACTAAAAATGTTTTCATTAGTTTCGTCAAACGAAACAAATTTTTATGCTATTTGGTGCCGCCATCCTGGAGGCGGGGGCGCATGACGTCACATGACGCCGTACGTGCGTGGCATAAGGTGACCTTACACGTATGTTGGGGGGGCACAATTTTCTGTTCTTGCCTCGGGCGCAAAAGGAGCCAGCTACGGCTCTGCACCATTCGCTCAGCTGAATAGTCAAGTTCAGAACAATTGTGCCAGGACTGGTGCAGTCACCACCTTGCTGCCGGTCAGCAGTATACGGCCAGCTCAGTGATGATCCCATAAATTCCATTCGAGTCCATTCAGGGATACAGGAAGTCTTTGGGGTATACTGCCACCTACAGGAGGATGGAACAATGACACACAAAAAGACTAGGCGGGTATTTTTTGGGCTGAACTGGATTTTTTCAGGCTGTAGGCGGCAGTATAACCCAAAGAGTAAAGACTTCCTGTGTCCCTCAATGGACGAGGAAGAAAGGGTTTTCCTTGTGCTTCCTATTGGATCAGCTGATTATACGATGCCGAGTTCAATGGCTATACCCGCACAATGCAACAAACTCACGCTGTCATATTCCCGTTGACGTAATTCTGGTTCAGGATCCGGGCCCAGCACCCGCCGCCGACCTCGTCGTTGAATGTGCTGTAATCTTCCGAGGACCAAAGTTTCTTCCCCGTGGAAATGGCGTCGGAAACCGTAACTGTGCCGGGGTAATGGGCTCTGTAGGAGGACGAGCGGAGTTCCAGATTAGCTTAAAGAGGACCTGTCATTCAGAAGCAGATAAAATGCTGCCAATTGCCAATGGGGAGTGTAGGGAGCATGGTTAGTGGGGGGAGGGCTGACATCTCATGAAGCGAAGATGTCCAATGATGTCAGTTACAAAAACACACAATGGGAGGAATATATCAAATACGGAGCAGACAAAAACGAGGGGCAGCTGCCCAGGGCAACCAATCAGCTTCTCTCTTCAGTCTGTTCAGTTAAGATTTGAAAATGAAAGAGAGAAGCTGATTGGTTGCCGTGCGCAGCTTCTCCAGTTTCGATAAATTCCATTCAATGTATTCTGAATCACCGGTTCCTTTGTATGAGCGATATAAACTCCATGCAAAACTAAATTCAGGAATCAATAAGCCAATCGTAATGGTCCGTCCACTGCGTACGCCTAACGCACATACAAGGCTCAGCTCAGAAGGAGACCAAGAGATTTTCGGATGGGCAAATGTTTTGCATTAACGGGGTCTGAGGTCTAATTTCTATAATGGTTGTATCTGCATGGAGTTTGTATGTTCTCCCCATGGTTGACACGGTTTTTACACAACCCAAATATGTACAAAGGGGGACAAAGTCACATAAACCGGCTCTGGAATGTAAAGTGCATGTGAACTCCTCTGCATCAGTCTAAATGTTCTCTGTACAGCACTGCGGTATAGGTCAGAGCTATATCAATGTATAATAATAGTGTGTGACTGTGGGGGGGAGGGGGCATTAGAGTGTAAGCTCCTCTGTACAGAGACTGATGTGACTGGCTCAGTGTTCTCTGTACAGCGCTGCGGTATATGTCAGAGCTATATAAATCGGATTTAATTTTTCTGACTGTGATGAGGATGAAGATTCCAGAATACGGAAACATTTCCGGATATTATAAAATGTTTCTTTATATTGCGTTGTGTTTAGTTTTCCTTAAAAGAATAAACATAAAAATAACAATTAAAACGTCCCAGCCGGAGATGGAACTTTCCCGACCCCTCCCAGATCTTCCCTCACTTCCTGTCCAGGTGAAGGATGTCACACAGAACAGGAAGTGAGTGAAATCCCTGCAGCAGGGATTCCTCACTATTCTAGGTTTGGGGTTTTGGGGGCGGAGTTGAGCTTTGTGTGACTGGTGGTGAGGAGCGGGGAGAGGTGAGTGAAGAGCAGAGTCCTACCCTATCACATCGATCACCCTGAGGAGTTCCGTGTCCCGCACCATCTGGTACGCGATTGGCTGCCAAAGATTATCGCTGGCAACGATCCGCACCCGCTCCAAACCAAACTTATCCAGAGTGTAACGCAGCAACTTGTGAGAGAGAGAGAGAGAGCGGAGGAGGGGTGAGAGGAGACGTGCACCGGAGGACCATGCCTACCGGGAGCTTGGTCTCAGGAATGGAGGACACACGTGACTTCTGATAAAGCGGAACCGTACAACACGACCTTCACACCCCACCGATCCCATCACCCTGCGAGGGGCCCGTCCATCCCGCCAAACTACACCGGACTTGTTCTGTAACTTTTCCAAGCCAATTCTTCAGATCTAATGAATGTCAGGAACTGGGGTATGTTCCTGGTATGGTGGGGGTATAAATGTTGGGGTATGTTCCTGGTATAGTGGGGTATCAGTGTTGGGGTATGTTCCTGGTATGGTGGGGGTATAAATGTTGGGGTATGTTCCTGGTATGGTGGTGATAGAAATGCTGGGGTATGTTCTTGGTATGGTCGCTGGGGCTTGCTGAGAACACTTCCTGGGTCACACGGATGATATTCCAGCAGCGTTGGACTATGTAAACGAATATATAATGAGGAGGACGGTCAGGTGACAGGAAGTTGTACAATTCCGCTTTAAATGGACACAACATGCAGCAACATGGGACAGCAAAGCAGCACAAAGCGGGGGAACACGGACAGCAGCAAGGGATTCTGGGTAAAATATAAGAATCTAGAGCTGTGAATATAAAAACATAAAGCAGATGTAATTCCCGATCACTGAATAACATAATGAAGCATTAAAGCTGAACTCCAAGAAGATAGATGCAGATGAATGCAGCGCTGTAATCATTACATTAATTTTATTTACATGCAGATAGCTGAATTAGATTCTGTTCATCAGAGCTCAGACTGGGGAGGGAGAAGCAGCACAAGGAGCCAATCGGTTGCAAGGAGCATGCTGACAGGAGGAGAGAGCAGAGAGATGGGCTCATCACTTTTCTGCTTCTCCTTTCACTGTCCAGCCCCTGGGTGGGGGAGTGATAAGACCAGAAAAAAAAAAGGTTGAAATTATTTTATTTTTAAAGAACGCCGATCATTTATGACGCGCGGTGCTCAGCGCAGACGAAATCTCCTCCAGTTTGGGGTTTCATCTCCTTCGATAGGAAACTGAATCGTCACCTGACCGCGTTCTGTAGATGATGGTGGACTGTCTGCTCTGCGGCCCTCGCCCGTACATCCCCCCCCTGTGACCACTCTGGTTTTCTGTGAACGCCCCGGATCCCCAAAAACACCTCCGTGATGGCGGTCACAAAGGTCGAGGTGTAAAGCCCAGACAACCAGAGAGGAAGCGGGTCCGGTGTGCGAGAACCAACCGTCACTGCGGCTCGGAGCCGATCCATTAGGTTCACCAACTCAGTTGTATTCACTGATACATTGTAACAGGTTCTGAGCCGCAAACACCACCCGAAACTGATACAATGTCCACGTGATCGGACGCACCTGCTTGTTGAAGGTTGCTTTTCCTATTTTTAGCAAGGTCCATAAAGACATGGAGGGGGGAGTTTGGGGGGGAGGAACGTGACTGGAGAGGTGGAAAAGTTTGTTAAGCTAAACAGTTTTATTTTTGTTGGCAAGTTTAGCAGAATATATTATCACCTCATCCTGCGTCTTTGCACAGTGTCCTGCTATCAGCAGCATCTTGGTGTGTGGGCAGATAGTGTCAGGACACCAGACTAAGGTCAGCTGACCACATAGAACCGCCACAATAGGTTATTTCCCCAAAATAGAGGTTTCGATTTGATTAAAGTTTTTTAAAAATAAAAGGTACATTTGGGCGCGAGATTTTGTGGGCACAGATCATTAACCATTTCAGCGCTGTGATAAATATTATTGGATGATTTGTATTTCCGCGCCGGGCCAGAGTGGGATGTGTCTAATTACGCAAATGTGGCTTTGCTTAAAAAATGAATGTAACTTGTTGTGACGTGTAGTACGCTGCCTATCGTACGGCCCAACATATGCCGAATAAATCTCACTCACGCCAAGGACACAAATCTCTCTGTTCCTGGTTTTCTGCGAGTTCTGGTATTCCTGCCAGGACACCGGCCTGCACAGAGTCTGGAGACGTGGGTGTTCCTAGACAGGATGTATTTGCATGTAGATGACCCTAGAGGATACCCATGTGTGTTGATGAGCCTCCATGATAAAAAGATCTGAAATCCAATGAAAGAAGAGGGGGCGGGGCCAGGGATAGTCCAGCTGGGGACGAAAGTGCTAGATGATACTGGACGTCCTCCAGCCAGGAAATGAGGCGGAGCTCTATCGGACTTGCTGCAGCTTCTAATGCACATTGTGAGAAGCTCCCAGTGTGCAGGAGAGGAGCCGGTACAACTGTGCAAGACTGAAGGGAAGGCCAGATAGAAGACTGAAGGGGAGGACGGAGGGCAGATAGAAGACTGAAGGGGAGGCGGGAGGTCAGATAGAAGACTGAAGGGAAGGACGGAGGTCAGATAGAAGACTGAAGGGAAGGGAAGGACGGAGGTCAGATAGAAGACTGAAGGGAAGGACGGAGGTCAGATAGAAGACTGAAGGGGAGGCGGGAGGTCAGATAGAAGACTGAAGGGAAGGACGGAGGTCAGATAGGAGACTGAAGGGAAGGACGGAGGTCAGATAGGAGACTGAAGGGAAGGACGGAGGTCAGATAGAAGACTGAAGGGGAGGACAGAGGGCAGATTTAGGCCCTTCCCCCTGACAATGCAGAGCCACTCCCCCTGTCAACATTTGACAGGGGTGGGGTTTTACATTGAGGAGGTGGGGCTTAATCCCAGACAGGAAGCAAGCTGATGCTCCATGCCCGGGACAAGGATCCACAGAGAATGATTTATAGACGACCCCCAGGTATATGTTGGCACCACAGGGCTGGCACAGTGTGAAAATCATATCTGTAGGATGAAGACACGGCAATGCTCCTCTCCTCATGAACTGTCTGCAAATACATCCCGAAGAGGAAGCTACAACCAGAGAAAACTCTTTAGTGAGAATGTCATCATCCCCGTCCTTACGATTCACTTACCCTATGACCTGCACGGCATCGTTAAGATAGGGATCAACTACCATGTCACGGGCTACTTCCCACTGTCCATCCGCAGCGATGATGCCGACGTTGGTCAGACCGAGCCTGTCCAGGGTATGGCGGAGAACCTCAGGGACAGAGTCAAGACGTCAGCTATAATGGCCGCCACATTGTAACAAACCTCCACCATCAACCTTCCGGGACGTGCGCAGCAATGTGAAAGAGCTTTTACCTCCCCAGCCCCCCCTTCTCAACGCCCCCATGCTGGTCCTCTTCTAGTGGTCTTATTGACCAATAGAGTCTTGAAGAAGGAAGGAACACCAATCTCAAAAATCCACTTGGCCCTCCTCCCTATGGGTCATTGTCCAAATCAGTCCCATACAAGGACCAATCGGGGCCTCTATCTGCCTCCATCGATGGTCCCAACATGCAGTTTTCACCATAGACCGTAATGGATACGCTGTATACTACCTAATGGGGGGGTGTCAGGGGGCGGGGCCAATACTGTATAAGAGAAGTGCCACCAGCACACCAAATTCCTTAAAGGATTCTCATTTATTGAAGATTTGTGTCAAATACACGAGCGCTTTGAGGGCCACGCAGGGTCCCTTCACCGGGCACATCGCTATGCCTGACGAAGGAACCCAATACTGGCTCAGCTGCTACGGTAACTGCACTGAGGATCATTTTAGATAGTAAGCTCTTCGGGGCAGGGAACCTGACATATTACTTATGCTGAAATTGTTGGAGTAGCAAATCCCGCCTTCACCCCAAAATCTTTCCACGGATTCTAAATCCTGCTGGTACAATTACCCCGAATCTGCACTCGTATTACCTCCTCGCAGCTCCCTGAACACCGGGAATACTAAGGGCCCGTTCACACCAGCCACAGTGCGTTCTGGCACGAACGCACCGGAGCGCATTGCGGCCGGCTCACTTTGTTGTGGGGCGTGGCGGAGCATTGAAGTGAATGACACCGCAGCCACGCCCTCCGGCCGCAATGCGATTGGCCACACGGGGACGCGTGGAACATCAATGCCTGCGTTCCAGTCAGAAAAGATACGTGCCAGCGGCATTTGTTCTGACCGGACCGCAGGCATTGATGTCCCTCGGGTTCCCGTGCGGCCGGAGGGCGTGGCTGCGGTGTCATTCACTTCAATGCTCCGCCACGCCCCACAACAAAGTGAGCCGGCCGCAATGCGATCCAGTGCGTTCCGCCCGCAATCGGGCTGGAACGCACTGTGGCTGGTGTGAACGGGCCCTTAGCGAATGGAAGAAGATAAAATCGGGTGGTACTGCAGTCCACAGAGCTATCATACTCACATGTTTCAAGCACCAGGTGCTGCGGAGGGAGGAGTTTAGGCCAAATACAGGAAGGAGGTGGGGGGGGGTGGGTGGATCTCATTGATTGGAATAAAAATCAAAAAGGTGAAGTTAGTGGATTGGTGGAGTTCCGCTTTAATGTCTACAATGATTTCATCACACGGAGCAGAAGCCGGGGAACACGCACACACAGAGCACAACCCAAATCACATGTCACGTGTTCTCACCTTTATGTACTTCACATCGAAGGCCCGCTCATTCCATATCTGAGACACGGAAACATACAAGTCTTCATTACTGTGAGCCGACCGCAAGAGCTTACACTCTAATGTCCCCACCATAGACACTGACACTAATATTATACATGTATATAGCTCTGACATATACCACAGCGCTGTACAGAGATCACTGAGCCAGTCACATCAGTCTCTGTACAGAGGAGCTTACACTCTAATGTCCCGTCCCCCCCACAGTCACATCCGTCTCTGTACAGAGGAGCTTACACTCTAATGTCCCGTCCCCCCCACAGTCACATCCGTCTCTGTACAGAGGAGCTTACACTCTAATGTCCCGTCCCCCCCACAGTCACATCCGTCTCTGTACAGAGGAGCTTACACTCTAATGTCCCGTCCCCCCCACAGTCACATCCGTCTCTGTACAGAGGAGCTTACACTCTAATGTCCCGTCCCCCCCACAGTCACATCCGTCTCTGTACAGAGGAGCTTACACTCTAATGTCCCGTCCCCCCCACAGTCACATCCGTCTCTGTACAGAGGAGCTTACACTCTAATGTCCCGTCCCCCCCACAGTCACATCCGTCTCTGTACAGAGGAGCTTACACTCTAATGTCCCGTCCCCCCCACAGTCACATCCGTCTCTGTACAGAGGAGCTTACACTCTAATGTCCCGTCCCCCCCACAGTCACATCCGTCTCTGTACAGAGGAGCTTACACTCTAATGTCCCGTCCCCCCCACAGTCACATCCGTCTCTGTACAGAGGAGCTTACACTCTAATGTCCCGTCCCCCCCACAGTCACATCCGTCTCTGTACAGAGGAGCTTACACTCTAATGTCCCGTCCCCCCCACAGTCACATCCGTCTCTGTACAGAGGAGCTTACACTCTAATGTCCCGTCCCCCCCACAGTCACATCCGTCTCTGTACAGAGGAGCTTACACTCTAATGTCCCGTCCCCCCCACAGTCACATCCGTCTCTGTACAGAGGAGCTTACACTCTAATGTCCCGTCCCCCCCACAGTCACATCCGTCTCTGTACAGAGGAGCTTACACTCTAATGTCCCGTCCCCCCCACAGTCACATCCGTCTCTGTACAGAGGAGCTTACACTCTAATGTCCCCACCATAGACACTGACACTAATATTATACATGTATATAGCTCTGACATATACCGCAGTGCTGTACACAGAGTCCTCCTCCCTTCATGTCACTCACCCCAACATAATCGATGTCCAGGTCATGGTACTGTTTAGCGCCGATGATCCAGGAGACGACGTAATTGGCGGTGACATCCGGGAAGTCGTACGGCCAGTTCTTGCCGTTACCGATCCAACCCGGGAATGCCCAGGGCAGACCTGGGGAGTAACGGGAACATTACCGACATCAAAGACCAATCAGCTTCTCCACTGTAATCAG